AGCACAAATGAAGCTTTTTGTGTTTCTTTCACACCAAGCAAAACACTCTAGGTCAACCAAACTGAAATTTCTCCTTATGTTTTTCATTTGAATTTAGAAAACAAAATACCATACAAAATTTCATGTGACTGCCCTAGACTGAAAAGACTTAGTGGTGAGGTATCTCTCCCCAGACAAAGATCCACTATTTGCACAGCTCTGGCTGCAACCTTTGAACCACTGGCCAGCCGCCGTGTTGCAACCATGCTGTTGCTGATATCAGCCCAGCAAGGCTTCAGGCACGCTTGGCACCTGGCAGAGGAGTTTTTCCATCAGTGTTGAAGAGGTTTAATGATATGCCGGGGAGAGGGGAGATTTATGCACTTCTGTGGGGGGTTATGCATTCTTTTTCCATCACGGCTACTGATTTGTATTCACCACGGTGTGGGACTTTATGGAACGAGGGAATCGATGTTTTATTGATATCTAAAAAACCTGTATGATGGATGTGCTAATTACACACTTTTCTCCCAGACCCCCTTTATTATACACAAACAAATGGCCCTGGTGCTATAATGAATGCAGGTAAAATGTGCAATGGAGTCAAACTCCATGGAGGTGATGCATGTGAGGGAGACCTTGCTTATGCTGGGGCAGAGACCTCAGCCTTTTGTTTAGCTTCTTCCCTGGCCAGTATTGAATTTTGGTTTCCCGTTGCCTTTGACTCCGTTTCCATTTCATGGAAATCACCTCCCTTGTCAGGGACAGAGGGGCACGGCTTTTGCAGCCACTCTGTGGGCTCCTGGCTGCTACAGCATCTATTTGCTCCCAAAAATATTCAGCAGGGTGTGCATTTGCACTGCCTTGCTAACAAGGGACACATGCACAGGGTGAAAAATGAGCAGGTTTTTTTTCATCTCTCTGCTAAAGCAGTGAGCGTGCAGAGTAGAGGGGCAGCGGTTGGTGGTCATGTCCCTTCCTCCCTCTGCCACTGCAGGGGTGAAGGTGAGCTGGGTGCCGTGACGTGTATCATGTGTAGTGATACATATAAAAAAAATCCATATTCCAGATAGAAATCACAGCTGAAGACACGCTGCCCTGTCCCTGTCTAAAGAGCCAGGCACTGCTCCAGCCCGAGCCCCATCTGAACCCTCCTCCTGCGGGTCTAGGCAGGGAAGAATGATGGCTCTTCTTGATGCCGGGAAGCGGCTGTGCTCCAGGGTCTGCTTTCTGCACAGGGGATGTGGCGTTTGGGGAGCCACCAGAGTAGTGAAAGACCTTCTTGGTCCAGGACCTGGAATAGATACAAGAGGTGGTAGCACCATAGATGAGAAGGTGGGATAACATACGGAGCCCAGAGCATCGCACCGGCGTGCCACCTGCCAGAAACTCGCAGCACAGCTTGGTTTTTCACAGGGAGGACCTTGTGGTCTTGGGGGCCAGGGTGAAAAGCTCTCAGCCATCAACGTCCTGTCCGGCCAAGAGGAGGCTTTGGCAGGCAGCTGCCACCCATGCAGCTCCAGGCTTCGTCAGCAGGTAATACCTGGCCCAGGCTGGGGGTCCCCAGCTTGGCGGTGCCCCATGGGGATGTTTGGCAAAGGCTCGGTCAGGAGCGAGTCCCCCCTCAGTCCCTCCTGTGCCCTGGACACGGGAGTTCCCACACAGGGATGGTGGGAGGCATGATGGGGAGAAGGCTTCTCCCCGCACTGGGGCTCGGGTGCAGGGGGCAAATCTCCCAAGAAGAAGAGATGAAGGAGACGAAGAAGAGAAGAGCAGTGGGACGAGGACATGTGCACTGGGTAGCCTGGAGGAGCTCAGTAAACAGGAGGGGACATTTATTAACCAGAGGCGCAGCTCTGCCGGCAGCGGAGGTGATGTGTGCTGGGGGCTGTGCCATGGGAGGGGAGCATGCCGGGCTCTCCCGGCTCCCCATCCCCTCACCCCCAGGAGGGCACACACGTCCCCAGCCTGCAGCCTGGTCCTCCTCCATAGACAGGTGTCTCCCGCAGTGAAATGCACGGCCACAAACAAACAAGCTCTTAATTGCCTCTTTCTCCTTTTGTTGTGGAAAAAAAAAATGTAATCATAGCTTAGCTTGCAGGGATCCCTTCAGATGTTCTTTTCAGGCTGGCTGGGGTTTGGTGTGCGCAGTGGCCTCTGCCCTCTGCAGAGGGACAATGACAGGTCTCCAGGCTGACCGGCAGGATGGATATGATAATTATACAGGGATATTTTTTCCCTGCTCGGCACTGCTGGTTACAGCCTGTTATTGTGTCTCTGCGATCCCATTGCAGGATCTGGGGCTGAACCACACGCGCAGCTCGTGCAAGGGCCCTGCAGGATTTTCTTTACCACTCAGTGCCCGTAACACTTGTGGTTTTGTGGGCTCTGCAGCCAGGGGCTGGGAGAATGGGCCAAATTTGGCCCGGCTCATACTGGGATGACTGGGGGTCTCCCAGCCCTGCGTCGCTTCATGTTTGCAGGGGGTGGTTGGTGCATCTGGCACAAGGGCATCGGCACTGGCGTCCCCCAAGCCCCAGTCTGGCTCTCTCCCAGGCTGCTGGTGACCAGCAACTAAATAAAAATCATCCCGCAGAGCAGGCGCAGCGTGCCTGAGCCCAGCATCCCCATCCTCAGTGTTTCCATGCCAGGCTCCTAAAACCTCCACGGGTGCCTTGCATCAAACCTGCTCCCACGCCTGCCAAAGCGAGGGGGTGGAAGGAAGGATCAGGCCCTCTGTGCAGTCACTCTTTAAAAAAAAGGCAAGGAAAAAGTGAGAGAGATCTAGTGGGAGCTGTAAGTGCTCTAGCTAAGAAACCCAGGAAAGTAGCGAGGCCTCTCTCACCATGGAGACAAACTGGAGAGCGTGCGGAGGCTGTGCGCTTCAGTTAATTTGCTGCGAGTACTTTTTCCAAGCTATTCAAAGAGGGTTTCTTCCTGCCAGCCTGCCCGGCTGCCTGTCCCTTGCCGAACGCCGGCAGGCTCGGACCGGGTGATGCTTCCCCATGGCAAGCAGGGCTGGTCGGGGTGACACAGCCAGCCGGATGGAGCTGAACGGCTTCTGGTGGAGAGCGGCGCGGAGGACGAGTTCGCCGTAAATATTGCGGTCTGTTTATGAGGCTGGGTGTTAATCACGCACTGGAGAGGAGCTATTATTTTTTATTTGCAAGTGGCGGAGCCAAGCTGTTTTCACCTTTCCGCCCCTTCCTGGTTCAAACAGGGGCTTCGTCCCCCCTACACAGGCAAGGAGGCAGTGGGGGCCACAGACCCGCTCGCAGGGCACCCTTCATCTGCTCAGCAGGCAGCCCCGGGCAGAGCAGGCACTTGCAGGCACGGTCCTGGCTCCGGCACAGTTGAGCCCACCTCTGCTCTGGTACCGAGCAGTGACTGGGGCCCCACTCGCACCAGCTGGGATGCAGGGGTCCCCTCCTGCTCTGTGCAGGGTGATGGTGTAGCTACGCTCCCACAGTTGGACCCTGACACCCTTCTTGTATGCAGAGCCCAGGGATGGGGACATTGCCGTGGCTTGGTGGCCTGGTGGGAGAATGATGGTGTCCAGGCAGGGCCATGTCCAGGTGCTCCAGCGACACTCCAGCTTGCTGCCCTGGCTGCGTTGGGGCTTTTTTCCCACTGAGTAAAACCTCCCACACCCAGTGAGGCTGTGAAGGAAGTAAGAGAATAAAAGCCAGCTTATTTCTGCCTCTGATGGAAGGTCTTTTTTCCACAGCGCCTGCATTTCCCCCTGCAAGCCCCAGGATGGAAAGACAGGCACATGCACCGCTCACAGGCTGCACGAGTGAGTCTGTAGTGTCTGGGACACGGCCGGGAGACCGCAGCCAGCTGTAGGGATGGACCAGGTCACGCGCAGGATGCGCCTTCACCCTCATCCTCACGCCCGGGGGGAAAGAGAGCGCATCCAACACCCGGTGCTTTGGGGTGAGACGGGGACCTCTAAAACCACGGTGCAAAACCCCGGCTTGCTGCTTGCGCCTCTTGGCCTTAGCGTGCCCACCCGTAGGAGGGGGTCACGCTGTGGGGCAGCCCCCCCACGCGAGGCAGCGGGCCGCGGGGGGAGCAGCGTGCCCCGGCCGAGGTGGCCGGAGGAAGAGTGGGTCGGGGTGCCGCTGGGGTGGCCGCGGTTTCCCCGGGGGGACTCAGGGCTGCCATTTGCTGAGGCCGGGGGTGGAGGAGGGAGATGGACTCGACAGCTGTGCCAGGGACGGGGGAAAACTTTCCGCCCGAAGTAGATACCGGGCTAAATATAAACCGCTTTTGGGCCGGCGATTGGCCGGGACCCCCGGGGCGGCGGGCACCACCCGGCACCCTGCACCCGCATCCCGGGGGGATGCTGGCTGCCGTCCGGCACCCGCCGCCCGAAGGCCGGGGGCT